TTGTTTCAAGAACAAACCTTAAAAATGCAGTTTTGTAAATCAGAAAATAGGATTCCCGAAATGGAGAAAGAAAATTTTTGAAATTTTGCTCAACCTCCCTGCAAGGTTTGTCCATCCATATGATGGATCTCCCTTCCTTTCAAATACATGGTGGAGGCGCCCATGAATTCTAACACTTTGAGCCCATGGGCCAAATTTCAGCCTCTAAAACTTTTTAGATTTAAGGATCATTTACCAGAATGCCCTTGTTTATTGTAAAAGCATCCCTAACACTTTTATATAGAAAATAAAATTGACTAAATAGAGCAAATTAGAGTAGTTGTTCAGAGCAAAAATGGCATTTTCATTTTTATTTATTTTTATTAAATTTATTTGAATGAATATTAAGTTCAAAACTGTCTTTTTCCATTTTTATCTAATTAAAACTTAAACTATAAATAAATTTTAGTAAATTCATAAAACTATAATGTGTGTTTTAATAAATGACTCTTGAATTAACCACATAATTTCAAATCCAGGGCTGAGCTAACCCAAAATCCAAAATGGATTTAAACTGTAAGTCAGCCCATCCGCTTTACTAGGATAGGTTGTAATTGGATAGGCCCAACCCTCTTTGGTAATTCCTCTTCCTATACCTCTAGTAGTGGTAGTAATCTAGAGTTAGACTCTACAGATAGAGATGGCCCACCACTATTGCTAGGATGAAAGAGATAACCTTAAATGTACAATAACAACAAACAACGATGGCCCATCAAAACAAAACAACAATGGCAGCAGCAGAAATGAAAACAACAATTGCATGCCACTTTACGTACCATAAGAGCCCCGGATTACATCTCCCCTTTTCTATCTAGCCTCACAATGTCAAGAAAATATATTAATATTTTTGGATAATGTGGGCCTTCTCGAGAAAGGCCCAGTTTTCCTCTCCAGGTGGGTTGGTCGTTTTTTCTTAGTATAACTAGGCCCATCCCTCTGTGACTCTGTCCTGTCCTTTCAATAAGGTTGTGTCCATCATCCCCAATAACTCTATTCAAACAAGTTGCATTTGGTTGACGCCCCAGGTGGACCCCATTTTTGAAAAAAAAAAAATTGTATCCATAATTCCAAGATGAAGAAGATAAAAGATTTAATGGCATAGAGCCTATCTAGTCTGGGTTTGCAGCTAACCTCATGCTTAATTAACCCAATCAGGCAGTGTCATCTCTCTATTCCTCCAAAGCTTTAGGCCGTGGGCTGCTACTCTCCATCACTACTTTCATTCCTTTCCTTTAGATTAGGCAATTAGATTTCTGTTGTATTTGTGACTTGAATTCTTTATTGCGATCCGCTTCATGATTTAGTCCAATCAAGTTGAGAAAATTCAAAAGTAAAATTTTATAGTGGTTAAACTAAATTCATAGTGGTTTGTGAGTCCAACCTGAATGCAATATGTTATGTTGCTTAGGCTATGTTTGGTTGCAATGCAAATAAATTTGCAATGATGCAAAACCATGGCAGTGCAAATGAAGTAAATTAAAACATGAAGCAGAATAAAGTAAAATTCAAAATAAAATTACACAAGGATTTGCATTTTTTACATTTGCACCCTTATGCATTTGTACTAGTGCAAATAAATTTGCATTGCAACCAGGGATTTTCTCTTTTATGTATCTTTTGACTTGAAAAAGAAGTTGAGATTGAGAGATTGGGTGTATTGGGATTTAGGATTTCTGTGTGAAAAGTTTCTGCACATCTTTGTAATCTCCATTGCCGTTTTCTATAGTGGACTTCAGCTCCTCTATTTCTTGTTTTCTCTATTTTTGCCAATCAGTTGCAGGTCTAGAATTTGTTCTACCGTAACAATTTCTTATTACAAAGTCTCATACTTTGTTTAGGAGAGGAAGATTTAGAGGCTTTTCAGATTTTGATTTTTATCTTAGACTGGAGAGAAAGTACAAAGAGTAATCTCTTTGTAGCTTTGGTTCCATTTTTTGAGGTTCTTTGTATCTGACTTTTGTGCTTATCTTGATGTTGATTGAGTTCAAAAATTGGGATCAAAGATATTTTAGCGTCATTAGCAAGAGCAATGAAGATGAAGGAGCAATCCTCTGATAAATTTGGGGATGCAAATCAAATGCATGGTTGCCACCACACAAGGGTGTTTGTGTCTTTTGACATTGGGTTTAGTTTAATATTTAAAGATGTAAGAAAAGTGCATCTCTACTACTACTGTTACTGGATAATCATTCCTGAGGTAGCTTAGTTTATAAAATATCATTTATAACATCTGACATATATCTGCTCAAATATAAAATTTACCCTCTTTTGTCCTGGTTTTATAGTGGAGAACCGTGTTTGGACATAAGGTATATATCAACTTTTTTAGGTCCCTATATTTCTCGACAAATTCTTCATATTTTGCACTTTTGGGGGCCAAACTACGCTAGACCCAATCTTGGGTCTGAGATGTTTTCTAGGTCCAAATTTGGGCTTCCCCTGTTTTCTGAAAGTCTTGTTGTCTTGGGTCTGGACTAGTAGGCCCACCTGCAAAATGGATGCTCTTGATAAAGATTGACCAGAACAAACCCGGTTAGCATTAAAATTGTTGGATTAGTTCCAGATGGACTTGATGGAATCACAAGCTCGCTTAGCTGTTCATAAGCTTTTCCCTCCATGGATTGTGGGCCTAGCACCTAGTTCAAACTTATTTAGCTAAATAGGCTGAACTGAACTTGGGTGGACTTAATTCTTTTCTTTTATAGAATGCAAATTGGGCCTTGAACCGTGGGCTCAACATGTTTTTCAAACTTTGGGTTTTAAAGGAATCTAATGGATTTAAAGAGCTGATCCAAGCCAATAAATGACAACCCAAGCCTAGTGCCATGGTTGAAGATACTCTCCGGTATCGGTACTAAAAACCATCAGTTGTTATAATTTTTAACTGTTTTTTTTTAATTTTGCATTAAAAAGAAAAAAAGAGTCCTAAAACACTTGTTTATCCAAAATATATAGTACGATATGAGACGTCCAATACAGGATATATTGTATCAAAATTTTGATCCTTACTTAATACCCATATGGAACAGCTTTCACACAGAGGCTTATGACATTACCTGAGCTGAGAAATCCAGAATGTCATGAAGCGGTGTTTGATAAAAATCCAGAAAGACAAAAGTAGATTTAGTGCCCATTTGGGAGTTCCATAAGCTATATTTGGTAAAAATCCAGAAATCAAATATGAGCTTTTTGAACACCCAAACCACTGCTCAAATATGAATATGCTCTGAATAGCTTCTCGGGAACATTGGTGTTCAACCACCACAGTTAAATTAGTACAAATAATACAAAGCACCCCCCAAACAGAAGCCCTCCCAATCTCCTATCATTGATAGCCCAGGGTTGGCTGCATTCACACCAAGAATGACTCCATGACTCCATTGTCGATAAATCTGACCTTCAGGTCGAGATCCTGACTCAATGTATTGAGCCCTACCATGACCATGACCATGAGGGTCCCTATGAATGTGGAAAAAGAATGTCATGATGTGACCTTACCAGGATGGCTCCACGTGGCACCATGCATAAGCCCTAGGTTTCATGTTGTGTTGCAGCTACCAGGTCCCATCACCACCATTCTACCACTCTCCATTCCAACCAACCATGGCTCCTTTCTGTTGGGCAGACTGGGCCGAGAGCAGTTTTCACTTTTTCAGATGAAGAACCAACAGCAACAGACGGCTTCTAGATCATAGCTATGGTCTATAAAACAGCATTGGAATATGGAGGCCCTTTTCTGGTTAGGTGCGTATGTGTTGCACCAAGCCCAACAACCTTTCAACTCCTAAGTCCTCTAACTATGAGTTGCTAAATTAAAACACTAATGATTGTAACCATCTCAGTTAATTACCACTTTTCTTCCAGACATCTCTGAGATGGACTGAGGGTTGTGTACACTCCACCCCAGAGCGCAAGATAGAGAGAGAAGTACTACAAAAGGCTCCCTAATCCCTACTCCAAGTCCAAGAATGTAAAGTTGTGGGCCTGTGCTGGACCAGTACCCAGTCACCCAGTCCTCAAAAACCTCACTCTACTTACGAGATTGCCCCTGACCTCTGTCCCTTTCTTGGACTCTTGGTCGTATTTCCCGCATAAAGAAAAGCCCAAAGCCCGCGTGCATCTGTGAGCTGACCGTCAGTGTAAAAGCCATCAATAGCTTGACAGTGCCAAAAATGACGACAATACCCCTTTACCTTTTTACTTGATTCTAGTTGTTGCTTCTGTGCTCTTCTTCAGACACTTCAGTTCAGTTCAGTTCAGCACACTTCAAGCCATCATAACCTCCTCAGTGAAAAATTTTAAGAAAAACAATTTTTTTCCCCTCATGATTTTTTTTTTTTCCAAACACAAACACAATCCAAGTAAACTAAACAAATGAAAAGATAGAACTCAATATCCTCAATCACTTACAATTACATATATAATAATGTCAGTAAAAACTATTAATTCATCCATTATATTGGTGGCTTAAGCTGTGATTGAGATAATCATATCAAAAGGGAAGCAAAGTGCCATACAGAGAATTCATACAAAAGTTGCAGGTGATGACCATAATGGGCTTGTTTTTCTTCTTTAAAATAAGAAAAGAGAACAATGTATAACTTGTACAAGCTGTGGAGACTGAAGAGGTGAGTACCCAAACACAGGAAAAAAAATAAAATAAATAAAAAAGCTAAAATAAACTATGGATGGTTGATGCCAAGTTACTATAACTTTCCTTTTTATTATTATTATTTTCATCATTGAAAAGAGTCATTATTATCATCACATGAGTTCTCATTACAAAAGAAATTAGAATAATTATGGGTCTCCTTTTTTTATGGTTTTTCCCATGTTAGCTTGAGGGCATGCACTCATACAGAGAAAAAAGGGATCCAAACTAGAGGAGGAAATTAGACAAATTAAAAACTTCATGGAGATTATTTCATTAGTAGGAAACAGAAAAGAATTGCATTAACATGTCAAGCATAACAGTAGTCAATAGGTCTTGAGTCTTTTTTCAGGTGTAGAAAAGATTCAAATAAACACACAACAGAGAGAGAGAGAGAGAGAGAAAGAGAGAAAGCACAAAATAAGTAAATAACTCTTCTATTTCTCTACCAAAAACAGAAGAAACAAAGAACTCTTTCATTAGTATAAGATGGGTGTTTCATCTCTATCTATTCATATTTATTTACAATTAAAAATAGTCAAAATGGTGAGGGAGCTGATATGTAGCCTCTCTTTCTTTTCTGCTTAGCTTTGGTAAAGAAGCTTTGCTCTTAATTTTGTGTAAATCTCTGGGGACTTCAGGAGGCTTAACTGACCTAATCAAAGCCCAATTGACACCCTTGAAAAACTCATGCCTCTTGATCTCAACTGAACCCTTCAAGCTCCCTATTCTCTTCTTTGGATTCTTCACCAGGAGCTTGCTTATAAGGTCTTGAACCTTCATTATCTCTTCAAGTTCTCTGCTACTGCTGACACCAATCCTAGGGAAGGTCAATGGCTGCTTAATGATATTGACGAGAGTCTTCTCATTGTTTTCACCTTTAAAGGGTGTCCTCCCGTACAGGAGTTCATACAAGAACACCCCGAGAGTCCACCAATCCACAGCACTTCCATGGCCTGACCCCGAGATTACTTCTGGAGCCAAGTACTCATGAGTCCCTACGAAAGATTTCGAACGGGCATTAATGGGTTCAGCTACCAGTTCGGGATCGACCTCCTGCAAATCAACTTCTGCAGGTGCTACTGCGCCCGAGCTCACTTCCTTCTTTTTCTTGCTGTTCTTAGTAGACGCTAGGAAACAAGAAAGCACAGGTTGTATTGGTGTAGCACATGAAGGGATCAAGCTCTTAACGTTCTTGTGTGTAGCCTCTGGGTTGGGTTTCGTTCTCAGAAGCTTGGGCACCACGTCGCATTTGAAGGAGAGATCGAAGTCTGAGAGCATGATGTGCCCATCTTCCCTTACCAGCACGTTCTCGGGCTTAAGGTCCCTGTATACAATCCCCAACATGTGTAGATACTCCAGAGCTAAGAGGATTTCAGCTGCATAAAACCTGTAATTTTTGTTCACTACTTAGTCCATGAACCATCCAGAATAGAAAAGGCAAGAAATAGCTAGCGAAAAGGAGAGAGCAACCGAGGACACTTGATCTTATCTCTGAAAGTGAGAGAGAATCAGAAGCGTACCTAGCAGATGAGATGCTAAACCGCTTCCCTGGCTGGCGCTGCCGTAGAGCATACAGATCGCCGCCGGGACAAAACTCCATGACCAGACATGAGTAGTGGGAAGCTTCAAAGTCGGCATAGAGAGTTGGGAGGAAAGGGTGATCAAGCATACCCAGTATTTCCTTCTCCATCTCTGCCCTCTGCAGCTTCTTTCTAAACGCGAGTGCTTCTCTATCCACCACCTTCATGGCATACAAGCACTCAGGCAAGCCCACGACAGGATTCCTGAGCCGGCAAAGATAGACATTGCCGATGTCTCCGCTTCCAAGGCGGCGAAGCAACTGAAAGTGGTCAAGCCCAACTTGGCCATTCTCTCCCCTAAGCCGCTTCATGGCCTCCCAGGCAGCTTGGTTGGCCTTGTGCGGCTTTTGAGCACAAGAGAGGGAGTTGTCACTGTAAGAGCAGACTGAGATAGAGCTCCTGCTGCCAAAGCTGAAATCGCTTATCCAGCTGTGGCGGGAGTCCAGCACTGTGGTCGAAGAACAGCTACTGTCGTAGTCGGATTCATCTCTGCTTGTTGTAGTAGTAGTAGTAGTCATGGCTGTGGCCTGTGGCTGTGGAACGCAACATCTATGTCCTTCTTCTCTTGGCCTGCAAGGCTTTATATATATATGAGTATTCCCTTTAATGCATGAAGTTTAAGCTTTGAAAAACCCACCTTTACTAAAGTGTCCATGTTTTAACAACAAAGGGCAATAAATACCCTTGGCCTTACATCATATTACTATGTTGCCACTGAAGCTCTATACAATACAAATATCCCAGAGCCCAGTCTGGGACGACTGGTGGCATTTTGGGTATTTTCTTGCAGAAAGACAGAAATACGGAGATGAGACCTCCCTGTCTTTGTCAAAAGATGAGGCATCCTTTTTAATAATTTATTATTCTTCTTTTTGAGACTTTGATTGATTCAGTGAGAATCAGTCCCCCTCGCATGAGGAGGGCCCCCCTTCAGCCTCATCTGATACCAATCCAATGGACAAAAAGAGCCCTCCTATGAGAACCAATAACACCCAATTAATTAAATCATAACCCCACTTCTAATATCTCTTTACTTCCAAAGTTGGGAAACTTTCTCTACAATTGGAACCGTATTTGTTGCAGTTGTAGAGGGAGGTGGGCATGCAAGTAGGGTTTGACTGTT